AAAAAAAAAAAAAAAAAAAAAAACCTTTCAATGATTCTCCGTTATTTACTAGATGTCGTCCAAACTTCTTGGCACAAGATGTGGCCCCAATCTAGTTCTCCAGGAGACAGATCCCTTTCACTCCCTGTAGCTCCTGTGATGTCAGATGAATCCTGGCTGAAAGCAGAGAATACCTGAAAGATGTTTACCTGTGTTTTATTGACCATGCAAAGGCATTCGACTGTGTGGATCATAACAAATTATGGATAACCTTGCAAAAAATGGGAATTCCAGAACACTTAATTGTGCTCATGAGAAACTTGTACATAAACCAAGAGGCAATCAGTCAAACAGAACAAGGGGATACTGTATGGTTTAAAGTCAAGAAAGACGTATGTCACGGTTGTATCCTCTCACCATACTTATTCAATCTGTATGCTGAGTATACTACCAATCCTTCTTTGTTTCCAGCTTTCACATTCCAATTACCAGTAATTATCAATGCGTCTTGATTGCATGTTTGATCAGTTTCAGGCTGCACAAGTTGGTAAAAATCTTCGATTTCTTCATCTTTGGCTTTAGTGGTTGGTGTGTAAATTTGAATAACAGTCATATTAACTGGTCTTCCTTGAAGGCGTATGGATATTATCCTATCACTAACAACGCATAATTCAGGATAGATCTTGAAATGTTCTTTTTGACCATGAACACGACACTGTTCTTCAATTCGTCATCCCCGGCATAGTAGCACATATGATTGTCTGATTCAAAATGGCCAATACCAGTCCATTTCAGCTCACTAATGCCTACGATATCGATATTTATGTGTTCCATTTCATTTTTGATGATTTCCAGTTTTCCTAGATTCATATTTCATACATCCCAAGTTCTGGTTATTCATGGATGTTTGCAGCTGTTTCTTCTCATTTTGAGTCATGCCACATCAGCAAACGAAGATCCCAAAAGCTTGACACCATCCACGTCATTAAGGTTGACTCTACTTTGAGGAGGCAGCTCTTCCCCAGTAGTATTTTGAAAGCCTTCCAACCTGAGGGACTCATCTTCCAGCACTGTATCAGACAGTGTTTTGCTGCTATTCGTAAGGTTTTCACTGGTCAGTTTTTTCAGACGTAGATTGCTACGTCCTTCTTCCTAGTCTGTCTTAGTCTGGAGGCTCAGCTGAAACCTGTCCACCAAGCGTGACCCTGCTGGTATTTGAAATACCAGTGGCAAAGCTTGCAGTATTACAGCAACACGCAAGCCACCACAGTATGACAACTGACAGACATGTGGTGGAACTAAAAAAATAATAATACTAAAACAAAAAAATAAGTACTAACAGTTTAAAAAACTCAAGGTAAACTCAATAGTTAAAGACTATTGGGGAGAAATTTAGTTCTTATACTTTGATTAATTACAGTGGTATGATCCAATCATAATAAGTTAATAATTCAAATCCTATGATAATGTCATAGATCTTAGGTTTAGGGAAAATGTCTATAAAAATTTATATTTCACTTACAAGAAGGGCTGTTTTGCTACCTTGACCCTTCTTACTCAGGCCACAAATTAGATTTTGTTTTATTTTTTACTTCTCATGATTCAGTGAAAATAAAAGAAAAATGTTGAGTTTCACTGAATCATGAGCAAAAAGAACTTTGTAATAAATGACAAATCATTTTAAAGAAATTCAACTTAATTTCTCTTTATTTTAATAAATATTCATTTTAGCATTATTAAATTTACTCACAAAATTAGTTAAAACCATTTCTGGCTATAAGTATTATCATAAGAGTTGAAAATTGCCTGGAAATAGAACAATGCATTTCGATTAATTTCTCTGGGTGTCTTAGTCATCTAGTGCTGCTATAACAGAAATACCACAAGTGGATGGTTTTAACAAAGAGAAGTTTATTTCCTCACAGTAAAGTAGGCTGAAAGTCCCAATTCAGAGCATCAGCTCCAGGGGAAGCCTTTCTCTCTCTGTCAGCCCTCTTCTCTTCAGTGTTCCCCCGGACTAGGAGCTTCTCCGCGCAAGGACCCCAGGTCCAAAGGATGCACTCTGCTCCTGGCACTGCTTTCTTGGTGGTATGAGGTCCCCCAGTCTCTCTGCTCATTTCTTTTATATCACAAGAGATTGCCTCAGGACACAATCCAATCTTGTAGATTGAGTCCTGCCTCACTAACACAATTGCTGCCCATCCTCCCTCATTAACATCACAGAAGCAGGATTTACAACACAAGGGAAAATCACACAATACTGGGAATCATGTTCCAGCCAAATTGATACACACATTTTTGGTGGGACATAATTCAATCCATGACACTAGGGAAGGTTTACAATTGGTAACAAGGGATATTTAATAATAAAACTCTGAAAATATTTCTGCATTTAACTATCTCTCAGCAATAACCAAAAGCTTAATTAACATTGTGTTTTGATAACTTTTGTCTAAAGAAGACTTGATAGTAGGTAAGATATGTAGAAGAATCCTAGCAGAGCTCTGGAAATGATACAAAGTCATTTCATCGCATGACTTTCATTATCTGGTTTTATTTAGCATGCTTACTAGGAAAATGAAGAAAACTGAAATTTCCAAATGACTTAGACTAACTCATCAAATGGAAAGCCAGGGAAACTAGACATAGGGATTCAAATAGGTTAGAAATCAGAGTTTCAAATGTGCGGAGACATAAGGATAACTTGGATCTTTCAGGGGAATATATAAAGAATATATATTTTATTTAAGATCCTAGGTCCCTGACTTAATAGTTTTAACTAAATAATCATTCTCAATATCTAGATATGTTTCTTGGGAATTTGGGGGATGGGATGGGAGGGAAAATTGGCTTTCCACTTCTTTTTACTTTCTTACTCCAGAAATCCAAAGGCATTTATATGGTTATGAAAAGGAACTAGTTTTCATTTCTCTAACATTTCAAAAAACTGGGAGGGGAATGGCACTTGATGAGAACCTTACTTAGTACTCTATAGGAGTAGCGATGTCGAAGGATACCCTTAGCCTGAAAGGTTGGCTATAACTTCCCAAAATGCCCTCATTCCCAACTTTGGAAAGAGATCAAGAACTGTGTGTGCTGCCTCCCAAACATGCCAAACCTGTAGGTCAAACATTTCCAAATGTTCTATTAATTCTTTTTTTTTTTTAATTGTTGTAGTTTAAATGAAGTTTACATTTCAAGTTAGTCTCCCATACAAAGATTTATACATACATTGTTATGTGACCCTAATTGCTCTCTCCATACTGTGACAGCACACTCCTCCTTTCCACCCCATTCCCCATGTCCATTCAACCAGCTCCTAACCCTCTTTACCTTCTCATCTAACTTCCAGACAGAAGCTGCCTTTTAGTCTCTTGCATCTACTTGAGCTAAGAGGCACACTCCTCACGACTATCACTTTATGTCCCACAGTCCAGTCCAATCCCTGTCTGAAGAGTTGGCCTCAGAAATTGTTTTAGTTCTGGGCTGATAGAGAATCCAGGGGCCATGCTTTCCAGGGATCCTCCAGTCTCAGTCAGACCATTATTAAGTCTGGTCTTCTTACTAGAATTTGAGTTCTGCACCCCACCTTTCTCCTGCTCCATCTAGTAATATATAACATGTGATAGATCTTCCTGTCAGGCAAATGCACTTTTAAGAGTTGAATTTCTTATGGAAGACTAAATAGAACTAAGTCACTAAGTACCAACATCCATTTTCTTCTTCTGGGAACAGATTGCAATTCACAGGAAGGAAGTTGAAGAATTGGAAAATGCTATTCATGAGCTGGAAAAAGAAAATTTGGTGCTTATTGATCAGCTATTTAACTGTAGACTTGTGGATCTCAACATATCCAGGTGAAAGTCATTAACATATCTCTAAAGTATTTTGTAAACATTTTTATCTGTAAAAGCATTTTTTGTTTTGTTTTGTTTTTTGGTTTTAAAAAGAGGATTTAATTCTTCACTGCTCCAGTCAGAGTGCAATATTCAAAAAGAAAGAAACTCACAAAATAGCCATGGTAAAGGTATAAGATTATTACAGTGTAAGATTTGATTTGTTTTTTCAACCAGTGTACTATAGTGATAACAGTAAACAGTAAACATGAACATTACAACTGCCAACCTTCAGGAACCTACAGGACAACAGGAGAGATAGGCCTGAAAGCTCTATACAGCGGATGCAGTGGAGGATGTATGAGGTGCCGAGTTAGCACAAAAAAGGAGTGATCAACTTTCCAGAAGCTTCCTGGAGGTGGAGGTTTTCTGGGCATCTGGTTACCTTGTGAACTGTAGAATTGTTTGGTTTGACAGTTAATGTAAGAGTCAAATTACTTTCTAGGAAAGAAAATTCAGAATCTAGGAATTAAAGCAGATAGTAGGTTGAACATAGTGGAAGAGCAAGGAAAAATTTTCTACCCAAGTAGTTCCTGTTGCTTGCGTGGTGTGGAAAAATACTATTTGAGACACAGTAAAGAATTTATTTACAAATTCCCTAAAGTGTTCCAGAGAGGGTGGATACTGGTAACTTATGAGTCCTTTTCTGTGCTAGGTAATGGGTGTCAGGATAAAAGACTGGAAAAACTGGGAGATAGTGTAATTACTTTATAAGTAAAAGGTTGGGTGGAGTGGTATAGAGAAAGAGGACACCTGCCTCCCTTCCACAATTACGTGTGCTGCCTGGGAGAGGTAGACACCAGTGTAGATAACATAGGAGGTCAGGCTGAATGAATTTTTTTGTTTACTGGGCTCCTGTATCTCAAGTCTCTTGAGCTGATGTCCTTGAGGGCCCGTAGGGGCTGGGTGCCCCATTATCCTCCCAGAAGGAAATGTTCTCTGTTGCCAGCCCTCCTCTCTATGATCCGGTCTCCATCTCCACACTCCTGTCCCTCTCTAATCCTTGCCATCTGCTGCTGCTGTCTGCTTTGTGATTATGTCTAATCTCTGCCAGCTGTTGCTGGCTCTTTGGCTTCTAACCACTGCAAACCTGCTGTCTATTGCCCTCTTTTCCTCTTTTTGGTTCTGGCCAAACCCTAGGAAAGTGCTACCCACCAAACTGCCAGCCCCACTTTTCTGCTTCAGTCAGCTTCATCTGGTAAATCTGATTTGGAGCTGACATGGGTGTGAAGTGCTAATAATTACAACAAAAGGGAATTCTTTCACTGGCCAGAGAGAACTTGGCAAGGACAGGAAGGGAAAGAAGGAACGTTTTCATTGTTTGCTGCGTAGTACGCGATTTTACTCTATCCTCAGTTTTCCTAACAATCTTCAGTGAAATCCATCATTGTTCATCAATGCTTTAGAGGTTGGTTTTCTTTAGTCCTGCTTCTGAGTTGGGAGAGATAAAATCTGCCCAGTGGAAAAAACCCAGCATGGGCTGTGTTTATAAGAACTGGGTTAGTGCCCCTGGTATTTGCCTCCATGGCACTCTGGACTTTTCCTTTGTAACCAGCATCTATCACACTTGTGATTACTTGTTTAATGTCTGCTTTTTTGCTAGACTGTAAACTCTTGATGCAAATGTTTAGGATATTTCAAAGAGATCTGCTTAGAGAAACAGGGACATGTGTAAACCCTGAATTATCTGTTATACTTCTTATCCAGATGGATAAGCTGAGAGTGTTCAAGAGTTTTATAGTACCTATTTCCAAGTCAAAGAAATATAGTATGTATTACATATTTTATGGCAACTGCCCTTTCTACCTCTTTGCTGAAAATTCAGTCCTTTATGATATCTGGTAGGGTGATGAGAAATAGAGGTGAACTGTCCCCAGCAATCATGTAAAAGTGATGGTTTATACCAAGACAGATAATTAGCATAGTGTGAGAAGTGCTGCCAGGCAGAGAGAAGCAGCGCCTGATTCAGCCTTAGGAGGTGAGGGAGAGTTTCCCAGAGGAAACCTCAAGGGTAGAAACTGTGTCTCATTTTTCACCTCTGGGTCTCTAGCACCTAGCAGACACTCCAGTGAGCATGTGGTACAGTATTTGTTGACTGACAAATTACTTTTCTTATTTGTTGTTTTAGACGGCTATATCTTACCCAAGCAGCTGGACAAGAAGTGCCACTTGAAGAAACTGCTTTGGAGTTTCCAGAAATACTTAATGGTATTATTTTATTGTGACGGTGATGATAACTTTTTTTTTTTCCCAATTCAACAAACACTTACTGAGCGTCTATTATGTGCAGGCACCTCACATACAAGAGCTATTCAGGGAATAAATGCATGCCAGCTCCTTCATATTTCTCTTTTCGCAGAGACCGTCCTAACCCATCTCTTCTCATTTTCAAAGTCCCAAATCAAATCACCATGTTTAACAGTGAATAATATAGACAGTGGCGGAGAGGGGTGGGGTGTTGTCTACACTGGCATGGTTTGGGTCCCAATTTAGCCAACAAAAATTCTGACACACGCATATGTTTCCATATGATTATTGAAGCTTAGCTAACAGAAGGAAATACAACTTAAGAGTCTCTAAAAATGGGACTCACTCACATTTTAATAAATTCTACATTTTTAATTCTCAAAGGTCTTTTGAATTAAAAATGTGACAAAGAATGTTCAAAATATATACATAATTAATTTCTTTGTATTCATCCCAGAAGCGAAGTCGAAATTACAACATGAACAATTCAAAATGAAAGACGTGATGATTCCATTAGTTGAGAGCAGTGCGTCACTTATTAGTCATGAGGATAGCATCAGAGAGCTCCATCTGAAGATAGATGAAAAGAATAGTTCATCCACAGAGTTTGGAGCCTCTGAAATGAAATACTTACTGTATGAGGATGAACGAGATTTCAAGGTAAGGTTCACGTGAACACAACTTTGACTTCTAAGAGAATACTGTTTTATTAATTAACGGAGAAAATTAATCTATAATTTAAAATATGGATATTGAAAAATTCTATTTACAATTATCAGTAAAATTGGCCCACCATTCACCTCTCACTGGATACCATTTTTAATCCTACCCATGCCCAGTGTGTTCTATAGATTCATCTATAGATCCCCTATTACTAGTATACCATGTATGTTATGTAATTGCACATAAAAAAAATCACCCTCAAACTTAGTGGCTTATAACAACAATCATTTATTCTCTTCATGGCTTGTCAATTAAGAATTCGGGAAGGATTCCATTGGGCAGTTATTACTTGGGGTTCTCATGCAGTTGTGGTTGTATGTTGGCTGGTGCTGCAGTCATCCGAAGGTTTGACTGGAGCAGGAGGATCCACTTCCAAGGTGGCTTGCTCACATGGCTGACAAGTTAGTGCTGGCTAAGCTGGAGGCCTCAGTTCCTCTCCATGAGGGCCCCTCCACAGGGCATCTTGAGTGTGCCTTTTTATGGTGTCTGGCTTCCCCCAGAGCAAGCAACCCCAGAGACCAAGATGAAAGCTGCAATGCTTTGTAAAACTTAGCCTTGAAAATCAAACACCATCACTTCCATCATATTTTCTTGATTGATGCAGTTACAAAGGTCCACCCAATGGGGAATCATGACCACTGGTATGTCATGATGACCTCAAGCCAGCTGGACAAATGTCTACAAAATCCCAAATTGCACACCATCTGGTAGAATGAAAGGCTGTTTTAGTTTTCTAGGGCTGTCCTAACAAAATAGCAAAAAGTGGGTTGCTTTAAGGAACAGAAATTAATTTTCTTACAGTTCTGGAGGCTAGAAGTCCCAGTCAGAGCATTAGAAGGGCTATGCCCTTTTGCTGTCTCTCTGTTAGCTCCAGGGAAAGATTCTTCCTTATCGCTTCAACCTTCTGTAGCCCCAAGCATTTCTTGACAATTCTTTACCTGTAGACCGGTCATCATAAGCTGTCTTCCCCCGTATGGGACTCTTGTTTCCATGTCTGTCCTCTTTTTATGACATCATTCATACAGGATTAGGACTCACCCTACTCTAATATGACACTGTTAATCTAACTGATAACATCTGCAAAGAAAAACCCAATTTCCTAAAACAAGGTTACATTTACAGCTACAAGGGTTAGGACTTGTGTAGGGACACAATTCAATCCATAACAAAGACCTTACTTTCTATGGATTTTTGATGTGGTGGAACTGCCATGATGATTTATTACTTTGTAATCCTTCTCCAGATGATTCTAAAATATGTGGGAGACCTCTATCAATCTGCTTTTGTCCTATCTTAGATTTATTATATTTTCATATGAATTTCATAGAAATTAGACTTCTAGTTCTGCTTGTTGATATCTCAGACTAATAGTGAGTTTGGAAGTATATGGTTAAGTTTTATCTATATGGTACCCAAAATTCCTGTGAAAAGCACAAAATCCATGGAAAAGTTGGCTAATATTAGAATGTTTATAGTCAAAATGGCTTTAGTGGATCTTTCTCTTTATTCTTCAATAATATGGAAAACTCTGCTATGGTTATAAACTGTCCAGCAGAGGGCCACACACACACACACACACACACACACACACACACACACACACACACACATATATAGCCAACGCTTTCTTTCACCAATAAGATCTTGCAGAGGAGATATCTCCCCACTATAGCCAGTACACCACTGCAGATCCCCCTACCCACCCTTAACCCCCTTGCTGTCTGCTGATCATGGCTGATCTCGTCTGCCATGTCTCACTGGGAATGTAAGCTTTCTGAGTTGTTTGTTATTTACAGTGGCGCTCATATTTCATGTGTTATACAGCAATCAGGCAATTAGGAGGGTAATGAAATCCATCAGATAAAGGCCAACCATAATGAAGAAAATCTGATCTATCAAGGCTGGTAACTTACTGAATAATCTCTTCTTTTCTGTCTGTTCACCATAGGATTATGTTAACTTGGGCCCCCTGGAAGTGAAGCTCATGACTGTGGAGAGCAAGAAAATGCCCATTCATTTTCAAGAGAAGGAACTTCCAGTTAAATTCTGTGAAGATATCAGCAGTCCACAAAGACACATCACATATAAAATGATGAAGTCTTTTCTCTAAGACTGAAAGCTGCAAAGTAAAAACAACTTTTCCTTATCAGTGATCTTTGGGAACTGAAATATATCATTTGCCCATTTTATTTATGCTTTGGTCTATTTTTAAACCGGTTGTTAGAATAACCCTTAAGTAAATTTATTTCCAAAGGTCATGATTACATTTAAAATCAAAGTTTCAACTATTCAGCTCTTCATTTAATGGTATGGCATGAATGATAAAAATTAAAGTACACTTTATATTAAAGTGTTTATAGCCTGACAGTGGGTTCAAAGTGACCTCTGAGGTCACTTCCCACTTAAAAATTCACTGATGAGTCTATAATTCCAACATTAAATAGATCAATTAAAATTTTTATGAGAAAAATTTAGAAGTTTGCATAACATTGACTACACCTCTTTCCCTTTGAGGCTATTGAATGATAGATAACCAGTCCGCAATTCAAGCCTGTGCTTGACTACTAACTGAAAGGTTGGTGGTTTGAATCTACCCAGTAGTGCTGCAGAAGAAAGGCCTGGCGATTGACTTCTGTAAGATTACAGCCATTGAAAACCCATGGAGCACAGTTCTACTCTGACACACATGGGGTTGCCATGAGTCAGAATTGACTCAACAGCAATGGGTTTGGTTTTTTGTTGTTGTTATTTTTTAACCTAACCCTATTTATAATGAATATTAAAAAGATAGAAAGAAGTAAATTTGAGGATGTTAATTTGTTGCATAAAATACTCCATGGATAGAGAGACCCCCATCTCTATCTTTACTTTTTTTTTTTTTTTTTTTTTTTAACGGTTATATCCTTACTTTTCTCCGACAGGAAAAAAACTTATTGACTTTCCACTGGGACAAATCAAAAAACTTCCAGTGACCAACAAAAACAGCCTATGTGACAGCTCACTGATTTCGTAGGTCAGCAGAAATTGACATGGTTTTTTATTTCACATCTGGACAGTTCAGTCCATGAGATTATTAAAACAAGCCAGGCCTGGTGGGATTCCAGCATAATTTGTTAGCTGCTGCAGTTTCTCCTTCACAACGTGAATTTGAATTGGAAAAAAATATCAAATGACTAAAAGTCTTGTTTGCTGCCAAAAAGATGTCAGCGTTGTAAAGGCATCATTTGGAAAAGGAAGGGGAAGAATGTTCTTTCCTTCTGTTAATATCATTTCTTGTGTTTAGGATTTGGGGAACGGCAATATCTCCAAACCGGCACTTTTCTTTTTTTTTTTAACAGTCCAAATTCTAAACAGCTTATGGTGGTAGATTTGTTAGATGACTACACTGCAAAGCAAATCTCAGTGAAGCTGTACCAATATGAACATTTACTCTAGTATGTCACTTACTCAAGTAAGCATTTATGAACGAGTCCTTACAGCCAGGTGCCGTGTGTAAGGCATGAGGGATGCAAAATGAAATACCCCTCTCCTCAAGGAGCTCATGGTCCAGTAAGAGAGCCTGATGGGTCAGGGAAGCCTTCCCAGGGCTGGTGATACTGGTTTTCAGTCTTCAACAATAACAAGCAGAGAAAGAAGTGGGAGAAGGCAGGACAAGACATTCTAGGTGGGGTGGGCGGAGCAACCACGTGTTTAACCCACAATGTTCTATAACATTGTGTTATATCTTACATAATATATATACCTATATATAAGTTGTCAAGGATTTCATTTTGCTTGGATCCACAATCAATGCCCATGGAAGCAGCAGTCAAGAAATCAAATGACGCATTGCATTGGGTAAATCTGCTGCAAAAGACCTCTTTAAAGTGTTAAAAAGCAAAGATGTCACCTTGAAGACTGTGTGCCTGATCCCAAGCCATGGTGTTTTCATATGCATGCGAAAGCTAGACAATGAATAAGGAAGACCAAAGAAGAATTGACGCCTTTGAATTATGATGTTGGTGAAGAATATTGAATATACCATGGACTGCCAGAAGAACGAACAAATCTGTCTGGAAGTACAGCCAAAATGCTCCTTAGAAGCAAGGATGGTGAGACTTCGTTTCACATACTTTGGACATGTTATCAGGAGGGACCAGTCCCTGGAGAAGGACATCATACTTGGTAAAGTAGAGGGTCAGTGAAAAAGAGGAAGACCCTCAACAAGATAGACTGACACAGTGGCTCAACAATGAATTCAAGCATAATGATTGTGAGGATGGCACAGGACCGGGCAGCATTTCGTTCTGTTGTACATAGGGTCGCTATGAGTCGGAAGACGGCACCAAACGACAACAACAATATATAACATAGAGCATATATATACAATAATGATATATAAATATATAATATACATACACTATATAAAATATATTATTTATACAATATATACACATATGTATATTATATATAATTATAATTAATGCATTATATATGTAATGTGTATGCAGTCCCTGGGCAGTGCAAATGGTTAATGCGTTCTGCTACTAACTGAAGGGTTATAGGTTCGAGTCAACTCAGAGGCACCTCAGAAGAAAGGCCTTGGTGATCTACTGAAAAATCACCCACTGAAAACCCTATGGAGCACAGTTCTACTCTGACGCAAATGGGGTTGCCATAAGTTGGAATCGACTCGATGCCAGCTGGTTTTAATATTATATATATATGCCTCACATTGTGTAACACCTTACACAATAGGTTTGAGGAAAGAAATTAAAATGAGTTTAGGAGGATTTTATGTAGGTTTTAGTTCTGAGAATAAGCATGTGAGTTTTGCTTATTCAAGATTATTGAGGATAGGGACCAAGTGTGCTAGCTTTTGCCTCAAGTTAGGCAATTGCTTATTCTGGACCAGAAATTAGATAGGTATGATTGTTGTTGTTGTTAGTTGCCATGGAGTCAATTCTGACTCACGGTGACCCCACGTGTGCAGAATAGAACTGCTCTATAGGATTTTCAAGGTTGTGATTTTTCTGAAGCAGATCACCAGGCCTGTCTTCTGAGGTGCCTCTGGGTGGTTCTGAACCACAGATCTTTTGGCTAGTAGTAAAGTGCTTAACCATTTGCGCCTAGGTTTTGATTAAGGAGGTGTAAAGAGACAGGGTGAAGTGTAGAAAAACTCATTCTGAGGAGTCGGCCTGGCTGCCTTTGAATCCTGGGCTGACACTTAACCTTTTTAAAGCCTAATTTTCTCATCAGTACTGTGGTTGTTAGATGCCATCGAGTCACTTCTGACTCATAGCGACCCTATGTACAAGAGAACGAAATGCTGCCCAGTCCTGTGCCATCCTCACAATCATCGTTATGCTTGAGTTCACTGTTGCAGCCACTGTGTCAGTCCATCTGGTTGAGGGTCTTCCTCTATTTTCACTGACCCTCTACTTTACCAAGCATGGTGTCCTTCTCCAGGGACTGGTCCCTCCTGATAACATGTCCAAAGTATGTGAGACAAAGTCTTGCCATCCTTGCTTCTAAGGAGCATTTTGGCTGTACTTCCAGACAGATTTGTTCGTTCTTCTGGCAGTCCATGGTATATTCAATATTCTTCACTAACACCATAATTCAAAGGCGTCAATTCTTCTTTGATCTTCCTTATTCGTTGTCCAGCTTTCACATGCATATGAGGCGACTGAGAACACCACGGCTTGAGTCAGGTGCACCTTAGTCCTCAAAGTGACATCTTTGCTTTTGAAAGCTTTAAAGAGGTCTTTTGCAGCAGATTTGCCCAATGCAACATGTCGTTTGATTTCCTGACCGCTGCTCCCATGGACGTTGATTGTGGATCCAAGTAAAATGAAATCCTTGCCAACTTTAATCTTTTCTCTGTTTATCATGATGTTGCTTATTGGTCCATTTTTGAGGATTTTTGTTTTATGTTGAGGTGCAATCCATACTGAAGGCTGTAGTCTTTGATGTTCTTCAGTAAGTACTTCACATCCTCTTCACTTTCAGCAAGCAAGGTTGCATCACCTGCATATTACAGGTTGTTGATGAGTCTTCCTCCAATCCTGATATGCATTCTTCTTCACATAGTCCAGCTTCTTGGATTATTTGCTCAGCATACAGTACTACATGGACCTAATTCCCATATTGCAGGATTATTTTAAGTATTAGAAATAGTACATTCAACCTGCACATAGTAAATATGCAGTATATAGCAGCTGAAATGATTATTTACATTTAACATAATCTTTAAAGATTCTGAAATAAGACCACAAACGTCTGGTTGTATTCATAATGCATTCATGGGGGGTGAGGTACATAGTGCAGCATCTTTGTCCAGTCGGTCATGTGATTTCGAGGCACGAAATCAGTCTCGGATGACAGCTGGGCTCTAAACGCTTTTATCCACAGGCTGGCTCCATCCTGCCTTGGCTGATGAGGGGAAATCGTGGTATGAGCGCATAGTCTGCTCCCAAATAGCCTCCAAGAGGCCACACCTGAATCTGCTGCAGTGATGGCCGTAGGGACAAGTAGTAAACCAGTTTCAAAATTCTTATTTTGTGAGTGTGTGTGGGCAGGGTGGGGGTGGAGTGGGCAGGGACATATGTATCAGTGGTAACATTTTTATTTCCGTTTGAGTCCTGTAGTCAGACACTAGAGTGATTCAGAGAACAGGGAGGCTGGGGTATTTTTGTGGTAATAAAGGGCTGTTTGTTAAAGGCCTGCTTGATCCTTGCTTGTTTTACTAGACCTCAACACAACAGTTCTCTGTATTTTTGTTGGAATAAAACTGGTTTTTGCACTAGACGCACAGAAATGTGCCCTCAAGCAAGGGAGGCTTTCTAAATATTAGTGACTTAACTCGATTAAGTATTTCCATTTCCTATTCCTATAACTCTGTGAGGCTCAAGTTCCCAGAAAGGCTGCTGTTTTTGAACATGACTCTTTAGGTTGGTTATGTTTTAGGTCACTCTGTTTTTGTGATCTGAGTAAGTGCTAAAAACATTCCAGATACTCTAAAAAAAAATTTTTTTTTATTGTACTTTAGATGAAGGTTTACAGAACAAAATAGTCTTTGATTAAACAGTTAGTACACATATTGTTTAATTACATTGGTTAACAACCCCACAACATGTCAACACTCTCCCTTCTCGACTTTGGGTTCCTTATTACCAGCTTTCCTGTCCCCTCCTGCCTTCTAGTCCTTATCCCTGGACTGTTGTGCCCCATTAGTCTCGTTTTGCTTTATGGGCCTGTCTAATCTTTGGCTGAACAGTGAACCTCGGGAGTGACTTCATTACTGAGATAAAAGGGTGCCTGGGGGCCATACTCTTGGGGTTTTTCCAGTCTCTGTCAGGCCAGAAGTCTGGTCTTTTTTCGTGAGTTAGAATTTCGTTCTACATTTTTCTCCAGCTGTCTCCGGGACCCTCTGTTGTGATCCCTGTCAGAGCTGTCAGTGGTGGTAGCCGGGCACCATCTAGCTGTACTGGACTCAGTCTGGTGGAGGCCGTGGTAGTTGTGTCCATTAGTCCTTTGGACTAATCTTTCCCTTGTATCCTGTTTTCTTCATTCTCCCTTGCTCCCAAAGGGGTGAGACCAGGGAGAATCTTAGATGGCTGCTCACAGGCTTTTAA